TCACCTCTCTAGCAGCATTTGATTCAGGAGACACTGCTATTTAGTTTAATTATCTGGGTGATGGACCAAGGCCTATTTCAGAAGAATGACATGGAAGCTGTTCCCTCTATCAGAGCAAAATAAAAATAAATCAGTAGAAATACTTGCTCTGTCCCAATATTTCATCATATGCTAGATACATCTAAAGCTACGTAACTCTGCTGTTACAGCCCATGGGGCAGAGACATCACTTGGTCTCTGCCCTGCAACTAGGCTGACCTCTTTGCTTCCTTTGTTTTCCTCTCCACTCTACTGGCGTGAGTTAATTGCACCATCCTCACAGCGATTGTACATGCTTGGGCATTGTTGTTGATTGAACTATAACTGGGCAGGAATGGCAGGGAAATTTTTTAAAAAAAAAAGAACACAAGAGCATCCAGAGGAACTGGAATCTCTTCCAGTAGGACATCAGTAATTGTCTTCTCATCCAGACCAACTTCGCCTTTGCTCCACCACCATAAATACATATCTTTGTTAATTCAACAAAGTCTTTACCTTCAGTTCAACTTTTCTGATGTGCTAAACCTTGGAGAAATGTGAGGGATTGTGAAATTAAGTTTTTATTCAAGCATCTAAAAATGTAAGTTTGAAATAAAGCCCATAAAATATTTCACAAACTGCGGAGATTTTTAAGACCTCTCAGACACAGCAGAAGTACCTAATTCCTGAGAGAGGTTCACACAACTTCCACCCATTCGAATACTGTTTCTTTGTCCTGTACTCCACGGTCAGCAGGGTCTCCCTGAAGGACATTTCCAAACAGACAAAGGGGAATCAGATCACCGATTCGCTTTTGGTTTTAAGTCGGTGTGGATTTCAACTTACAGAATGTAATTCCTGATGGAGGCACAACATGCTTTATCTACTTGTATTAACTCATAAAGTACATAAAAAGAGGACAAAACTGAGGTCTTGAAGAAACCACACTTGCTTAAAGCACGCAGTGTAAGGCATGGGGCTTATTACAGGCTTTTTAAAAAATGAGATTTAAGTTTCTTTCAAAAGGCTGGAACAGTTTGCATATGTTCTCACCTCTCTCTTCAGTGACCTAAAACTTATCAGTACCTTAACAGTAGAAAGATACAGTTAACAGCTTGAAATTGAGTCTGTGCATTCACAAAGAAAAACAAAAACCACAAAAGATGCAGCCATTAAATACCACAATCCATATTAACTTAAACCAAAATGGACTACTGAAATTTCAGTTGAAAAGAGAGGGAGCCGACTTTCATTAGCCTATTTCTATCTGTTCCTCTGATTTAAAAACAATCCCCCTAAAAACAATAACAAAACTCCTTCAGAATAATGTTTTAAATATGTGTCTAACATTAAAACATACCATCAGGATTTTCCGCTTAATGGCATTCCTGAGTTCACAAAGTTAATATGGAAAAATAAATGAGCAGAAGTATTGCCCTCTATTTTGCTAGCATATTTCAATAGAAATCAATCTGTTTAGTAGTCATAAAAGCAAGGAGTTGATTGTTTGAGGATGGAAGAATATTATACCAGTGGCTCAGAAGTTCTGCTGCCGCCGTTTCTTGGCTTCAATGGCATCGAGGATTGGCTGCCGCTTTGACTGGTACTTCTGGCGGATTTCTTCAATCTCCTGCTCCATCATGGGGTCCAGGGCTGACAGCCGCCTCTGAAGCTCATCAACACTCCAAGTCTTTAGCTAGCGGGGAGACATAAGAAGAACAGGCATTGGCATCAGCACAGCCACCATCCACACATCTACAGGGACTTTGCTGCCCATCTGATGGTCACAACGCATCTTCCAGTAAGAGAAGGTGGAAGAGTTCTGCTCCAGGCTGCTGGGCTCCTCTCTCAGTGAGACTGGCATGAGCCTCAGGATACTAGGCTGCTTTTGCTCATTTTACAGATACGTTACATGCTCTGTTTAGTGACAGCATGAGTGTACAAAACAATCAGTGAAACGTTTTCCCATTGAGTTGTTTTTCTAATGCTTCATTTTGCAGGCTTAGAACAGAAATACTGTACTGAAATGGAATGGAAGCGAAGTTCTCTCTTTTCCTTGCAACTAAACTTCCTTCTGCTAAGTGACAGAGGGAGACAGAAGGGAATAGGAAGAAAAAAAAAATCATTGACAAAAGTTGCATTTGAAAAAAAAGAGGCATTTATGTAGAATCAGGCTGAACCTCAGTCACGGTGAGGAATTCAAACTCCTCTAAGTTAGAAATCCCAGAACACACACAACAGGTCACTTGGAGTCAGCCTCATACCGATATAGTATGCAAGTACAATTTGTATTTTACCATACACGTGAAGATGTCAGGCTAGCCTGGACAAGCTTCCCTTCCCTGAATTCCCTATCTGCCTGCCCTTTGTTTAATTGGTTCTCTTGTGCGTGCCAATTTGCTGAGAACCAACACAGAAAAGTTTTATTCTGTGATTAGAGATGCCAAGGGTGGCCTGGGACAGTTTAGACTGTCCATAGCTATGCTCTTTACATAATACTGTAATATTATTATAACCTGTGGAACAGACAGGATTTTAGGATTATGGTAAAAAATATGGAGACTGGAAGAGCTTCAAATGTTCACCTAAGCACCAGTCCTTTTCCCATCCAGGACCAAGTAACCCCCAGAAACACAGGGGAGACGCTGGTTTACAGCCACTGCAGCAGGGTGGGAATGAATATTTGCACCTCCTGCTTTCAGTGTCCACCTACTCTGGAAACTACGAACATACAAAATAATTTGGTTGTTGTTCCCCGCCCCCCCGTGAACAAAGCAGCATCAATTTTTAGACTTTCAACAAGTGTCGTGATCGAGTGACTTATCTTTACTTCAGTTAAAGCAAGTGACACCACTGTCCTGGTGCAGCTGTTAATTAGTCAGCTCTCATGGTTATTCTTCAAGCCATTTCTGAACCAAACATGGAGTAAAACTTGCTGCCTATTACAAGGCACAACTGAATTACTGGCTGTTGAGTGGCAGTTGTATACTTTGCATCAGTCCTTAAAACGTATGTAAATACTAAAATACGGAAATCCTGATCCTTCTTCCTGAGGTGGGAGAGATACCAGTCCCCAAACCACAAAGTCAGCCGTTAGCTGGTTTCTCACAAGGTCTTTCGAAATTCTTTAGCACCTTCTGCTAAATAAGGTATTTCCTAGTTGCAGTTACAGGATCACAAATCCACTTTAATAATCTAGGCACAAGCGAAACAAAACCTTTTTAGCAAGGGTATACGGTCTTCCAGCCTCTCCAATCAGCCAACTGTTCATGAGAAAGACAAAGCACTTCCTCCACAAAGATATACATTATTTATACACATTAATGCAACTTTACCAGGCAGCAGTTTAAGTTGATGCACGGCACCAGTTGCCTTTTCACACTAATTTATTATGGAGCAGGTTATTATTCAACATTCCCCTTCCTCACAGTCCAGAGAATTGAACAGTCAAATAAAAATGCAAAAAAGAAGAAAACATTAATTCAAGTACTGAACATATATACTAAGCAGCTATATCGGATCAAATGGCTGTCAGCTCTCACAGAGTACCCAGCGCTGGAATACTAAAAGAGAGTTTTGGAATGGATCTAAACCACCTTGCTCATGGCTTAAGCCAACTATTAGGTGTCAGAAATTGTCCTGAGGCCGCAATCTTCTATGGACGCCTCTTGAGCGTGCTCTGTCATCCTCCCAAAGCGCCGGGTGCTGCTCACAGCCAGAGACAAATCATCAGAATCGGCGGACCAGAGGGCAGAGCAGATTTACAGCGATGGTTTCTCCAGACCCCAAGAACGTGGCAGTAAGAAGAAAAAAATGCCCTATGAATGTTCTTGAACACGATATGGCATCATGGGACATCCTTGGTGGATACCAACACACAAAGTCTTTCTGCTAACTGTAAGCAACTGCTCGCCAAGGGATGCAACGGCTTTGACAGTTCCTGGGACTGCGTGTTTGTCAGGACAGATGGCTAACAGCATGGAAGATGCTTCGAGTACAGCTGAGTCTGGAGCAGGCAAAAGCCTACAGATATATCTTAACATGAACAGATCAGAAGTGCGTTACCTGCGCAGATGCACGATGCAGAACAGAGTAGCTACTGAAGGAGAGACCGATCACGGGTTAAACAGAATGGGGATGGTGGGAGAAGGAAGGGAGGCAAGTCAACGCAGTGCAAAAACTTAAGAGCACAGAAACACATCCTGTGCGTAACGCTGTGTGTTGATGAGGATGAACTAATGACAGAGTTTTTATCTGGAATAATGTCAGCGTGACTGCAAATGCTATGCTATTCCTAAAAGAGGCAGAGAAGCCAAAAGGCAACACTGGTAAAAGGTCCAGAACGTGACTGTTCACTACAGATGAGACAACGAGACTGACAGCAGCCCAATTACTAATGAATGAGCCAAGCGCCCACGCAGTTCCAGAGGACGCCCAGCCCTCTGCTCCCACTGTGCTTCAGGCCCGCAGTAACATGAGCCCTGGGACCTGGGCTGGGCCATTACTCAGCTTGTCCTTCCACTTGCACACCCATCTTTAAAAGAAAAAAAAAAAAAATAAAAAAAGAGAACTGCTTAAACCGTGATGGCCTCCATCTCACTCTGGTGCATGGCATTTCTCTGTAAGCCCATGCCACAGACAAGACTTTCTCCCAGAAATGAAGTTTTTAAACTCTAGCATATCTGTCTCTGCCATGGTAGACTCTTGGGATACTGACATTATTCTCTTAGAGAAACGCCAGAAGCAAAATAAGAAAAGAAGGACAAGGACAGAGCATCTCATGACAGACGGTTACTCAGGGTGAAGTCTCAGCGCCAAACAGCTGCAATTAGAGCTGGTTTTAGCCACGGGCTCAGTCCCGTCCCTCTCCCCACTTCTCCTCAGCAATTCTTCTGTTCCAAGAAGCCTAAGTGTCTTTGTAAAAGCTATCTATTTTTGTCCACAGTGATCAAATAGCTAAACCAAACTTTTAAAGGAAGGAATCTCATTTCAGATGTAAAGAATGATATAAAATACTTGTTCTAAGGTTGGTCAAACACATCTATCAACAGGGAGAGGCGGCAGCACAGTGAAACTGTTCAAGCAAGGTTGAATGTGCAGAAAGCGAATTTTTAACCATTTGATTAACAGTTGTATTATCACTCAAGGTTTTGAGAATGATCTTAACTCTGTAAAAATGCCCAATTGAAGACAAACGTCAGAGGTGCGAGTCCTCACCTGACAGCCTCTTGCCCGCAGCCGTGCACGCCGCTCGTTGTTCCTCGGGCTGCAGACACCACTGACAGCAACATCTTGTTTTACAATGCTGGTGATTTCTACTATATAATTCAGAAGGACATATATAATTATGCCCTTTGGAAGGACATAACCTACAGCCTTTCCATGCATATGCAGTAATGATGGACAAATCAGGAACAGATCACTTGATATACAATTTATTCCTCAAGGAGAAGATTTGGAAGCTATTCAGGACATCCCTTTGCCAGCATTTCAGGCAGACGGGTGGAAAACTACTCCACTGAACAATGCTCGCCTCAGCAAACTGCTTCTGAGTTGCCATCCTTTCGAATCAGCATTTTAAAAATAGGGGAAAAAAAATACTACTTGCATTTGTTACAGTCAGGTAAAGTGTCACTGCAACATGATATTCTACTGAATGTAAATGAATCTAAGCAGCAAAAGGAGAATAAATAAAGGCTCTCTGCAGGCGTGTCAGACATAGCCACGGGTTTGATATTCAAGGGCACCACGGTCTAAAATTTATACCTATGCAGTTCTGTCCTGAGCAAGAGCCAGTCTAAAAACCTGCCACAGTATTTTTAAACAGACCACACCAGATTTATATTTCACACAAGATCTACTGTGAAACACAAAGCCTAGAGAATTGGCTCAGCCCCTTCCCTGCCCCCAAGAAAACCAAATAAAAACCCAAACAGTGAAAACCTTTTTAATTAGAAGCCGATGCAAATGATTTATCACAGTTCTCTTGGTATCCATAGCCCTTACGCTGAAGAGCACCTGTGCTTAATTAGAAGCCGATGCAAATGATTTATCACAGTATCCATAGCCCTTACGCTGAAGAGCACCCGTGCCGCGTTTTCCTATAGCAGGGTCTGTAGCTTGGCCAGTTTGGGATCTGGTGTACTCCTCTGGTCCCTCCAAGGGCTCTTCAGCAGCACGAGGTCACCGCTGACTCGGACCAGTCTGCACTACTGACATAAATACAATGCTGTCCAGTAATTCCCAAGTCACTTCAGCCGTCACTCTTCTTGCTCCTCTCTCAAAAACACTGCCAGCAAAATCCTCTTGCTGCATGACTTATGAGCATCAAATAGAAATGAGCTGTTTCCCAGCAGCTTTCACACCTTTCTCCCCCAATAAAGAGTTTCAGCAGAGCACTAACTCACCGGCTGCACAAGACTAAAAAATACTATCTTGGGGCAAGTGAAAAACATGTTCCTGCTTCCAAACGTGCAGATGGACCCTGACTTCTGGAACAAAATCAGAATATATATGACATCGGTGAGACAGGGTTATTTTCCTCATGGTGAAAGCAGTTGAACAGTTTTGCAGAGGGAGAATATTTTCAGGTCTTGATACTACAGCAAATCCTACAAATTTCTGTGAGTTTGAACGCTCATCTCATACGTGCTCAGAGTACTTTCTGAATATCCTCCCACCTTTACCACCAGCCCA